TATTCGTTTAAAAATATTTAAACATCGCTTGACAACCACTGTATGCAAAGAAGGAGAAAGGGATAAGGGGGAAATGAGGGGAATATGGTGAGGGGGGGGGGGTATATAATTTTTGCGTAGAAATCTTTTGTTTATAATCTAGTGGGAAAAAACCCATAAAAACAATCCATAAACTTCAATGTGATTTGACTGAGTTCAGGTTATCGAAAATCGAGATGATATTAAGTAACGTATCTCGTCTAGCTGATAACACAGAGTTCATTTGCAAGGCAGAAAATTATAGTAAACTACAAATCTCTGTTCGCCGGTCACTGCCCTCCCCCCTCCCCCCCCCCCCCCCCCAAAGTAATGTCGACGTCAAAGTTCCTCTTCACATGCGCAGCCGATTAGATTTTAAAAAACGCATAGTTCACAACAAGACGCAGTTCACACTCTCATCAACCCTGACGTGAAAAGCCTTATACCGGGTGCCCACTACGATGGGATCGACTGATCGGACTCGGTCGCCTCAATAACCAACGTGTTTGTTTTCAGTTTCAGGCGACCAAGTCGGGCGATCGGCCCGATCCAGCCGTAGTGGGCACCCCGTATTATCACGACTAGTAATTAGTCCACGGCGACACAATTCTTGTTTTGATCGGTTACTGACCGGTTAATTTCCGCTTAGACTAGATGAGCAATTTACAGCCGACCCTGTTCTAAGAGCTTCCTGTTTGAGACAATGTCCTGAACATACGACGACTTTCCTTTTCCTCACTTGCGTATTGTTGCTGTGTTTTAAGCCTTATGTCGACACTGTGTTGGATACCAACCTGTCTAAGACAACACCTTTTTTTCCTCCAGGGCAATGGGTTCCTGTCTTAGACGATTTCGACTACATCGTGAATGTAGGTTAATACCCTTTTGGTTCTCAAACAATTACTCTTTCAGCAACATTTCAATCATTAAAAAATGACACAAAGGCATTTGATGCATGTATAACAAGTAAACCATTAATTTATTAGTTATAATATTTTAAATACCACACAAAGTTTAGTTTTAGCATTGTACTTCCAATGGACTAAATTATCATCATCATCATCATCATCCTCATCATCTAGCGCCATCTATGCGAAAGACATCGGCAATCATGATTCTCCGCTAATTCCATTGCTTAGATGTATTGTTGAACTTGAGCTTCAGTTGAGATCAGAAGCTTTCTGGCCTATTCAGGGAGGTTTTCTGCCTTGAGTGGCAATATTACTAATACATTGGGTGTTGTTCTTGAGGGAGATTGGAAAGTGATCCGTACGTTCATCTAGCACTAACCACTGAAGATCTAAAAACGAGGTCAGGAGAACAAAATGTGGGATCGCAAGATTCTTTAAAGGAAGATCTCTTCCAAAAGATTTGAGATTTATTATTTAAATGACAGATGTTGCCGAAGAATAGGAAGCCGTTGTTTAATTTAATTCTATTTTCTGTGGACGTTACAATTTCATAGCAAACGGAGGTCTTTGAGAGTTTTCCCTAATGGTCGATTAGCTGGTTAATTTTGAGAGGGTAATTTGGTGAGATTTTAGCTTTTATAAGAGCATCCGAGCAAAAGAATGAATGAAAAACCATGATCTCCAATGTCTGTCGCAGGTCTGGCACTGGATGATGATGATACGGACTTTGTCACGATAAGTCTGTGCAGGGTGACCTGAGGGTTGTCCCATGATTTATTTAACTCCTCTTTACGGTTTGTTTTATCGATGTAGATGCTGGTTCCATTGGAAGCAATGTGGCTATTTTTGTGAGTACGTTGATACGCGATTAGAGGGGTGGGGTGGGGTGGGGGGGGTTGAGAGGTCTATGGTGGAGACCGAGGCGAAATTTGCCTCCTGGATACAGGCCAGAAGTGGGCATAGTGGGGCATCTAAAAGTGGACTTTTTGCTACGAAAGGGTAGAATCCTCTGGTATTCCACTGTTAGATCGCCATTGCACAAGCGTGGGTTTATTTTGGAATACGTAGGGCACGGCTGAAAAGAACTGGGCTTGATACTTGATGGGGAAGGAAGAGGAATTGCGTTACTGCCGCGATCTGTTAAACAACAATATTGCTGAGGGGTTTGGGAAGGGAGTGACAGACCCAGACCATACTGGGGATAGACTCGCGAGGGAGACTGAGTGCGTCATTGGCCATAATAAGGGGGTTTAAGAGGGGATAGAAGGAGTTCGAGGTTGTGGAGCTGATTGAAAGGGCTGAGAAGCAGAGAAAGGAGAAGCCCACACTCCATTAGAGGCATACGTTGTGAGGCAGATAAGGAGATAGAAAAAGGCTGAAAATAAAAGTGGTTGAGAAGAAGTCCACAGAGACCTCCAATCCATATCTGTTTGAGAGTGGAAAACGCAGATGCCAAAGCAGGACAGATATGGCCTTTTTCCTTGGGGGGGGGGGGATGCATTGTTTTGCGTGTTGACTCTGGATTCTGTGACATCAGGAGAAGAAGACAGGTTTGGCTAACTCTGTAACTGGCCGGACTGCCTTCGGGTAAGATTGGCTAGGGACAAGGGTCACAAAATAAGAAGGCCACCAATCTTGCAGGTTTCCAGACAGGAGCAGCTTTTTGACGCTTTGTACTTTGGGTTGCGCGTTCTTGAATGTCAGACACACCTTGCTTAAAGCTTTGGCCCTGGCAAATGGGGCAGTAAGGACTAGCCTTGTATTCCTTTTCAAGATGCTCGGTTATGGTCACAACAAAGATATTAATGGCTGCCTGTCGGCTTCACAACAGGCTATAGCCAATCGTCAGACACTTAAAACAGAGTAGACGATTTGGCACATAGGATCACACCTCCTGGACCAAGTATTATGCCCTTATGCCCGAACGGTGGCGGGGGGGGGGGGGGGCGGCACGAATGGGAAATGAGAACAATCGTAATTGTTACTAGATTGGTTGTCCACCTACTGCACCCCACCACGAAACTGACACAAACACACACACACACACACACACACACACACACACACACACACACACATACGCACACACACCCACACACACACATACACACACACAATGCCACATTGTCTACGCCTAGGAGGCCACCCAGCCTTTGAAGCGGTTGAACTTCATAGGGAGCGAAAGAAATACCGCCAAAAGACGTGATTTTCAGGAGTCCGACCACTTCATTTTCAAATGGGCACTTGACAAGGAGTACACCAAATAGCAGCTTTCGGGTCGGTAATCAAACTCACAGCTATATTTTATGTGTGTTCAAAAACAGCTTTGGAAGACAATAGCAAACGAAGAATTTCAAGAATCTTCACAGCATTTGTTGATAATCTGGACCTTTTGCTAAGCAAGGGGAAACATTATTCTCTAAGATCTTCTTTCTATTTTGATATCATCCAGATCACAGCATGAAAATTAGGGTATTTAGATTTAAGTCTATTTTGAGGGTAGGGTTTTGCGTGGGAGAAAACATGGATTTTCTGGAATGAAAGGCAGTAATGCAGTAAGAAAACAATAAACGATAACTCATGAAAAGATTTTCCAGACATGAAACAAAGCTGCCCTCTTGACAAATTCTTCTTAATATGTTATTGCGTGCTTCATTTTTAGTCGAGTATCTGGGCGGTAAACGAGTTTTCGATCATGTTGTGAAGGATACTCGATGTGAAGACGGTGGTTTTGGTTGGGTGGTTCCTTTGGCATGCCCCGTATGCAAGACTTAATAACCTACGTTGAGATTGTTAAAATTAAAATCTAAAGAAAGAAAACAAAATATAAAAAATAAAGAAATAAATAATTAATACAAAGCAAAAAAGACAGAAAGAAAGAAAAAAGAAAGAAAGAAATTATATAATGTTTAATAACATAAATAGACACACAAAACTAGAGCACGGATCAGTTACGATAGACCGCGGTGTTATCCTAAAGATGTCTTCATTGGCATAACTTTGTGTATCACGCTTATCCTAGACCATGGACAGTCGTGGCTGACGTCCTTTTCCCTATATTATTATATAAAACCCTCGCTGCACAGGCTCTCAATGGAAGAACAAAACACCCCTATCCCTAAGGTTGAGTACGCGTGCCTCATGGAGTCAAATTGCGCGCTCCACAGTGAACTGGAATTAGAAGAGTGTACTTCACAGGATAACATCATTATACACTAAGTCAACTGTATTATGACATGACGTTGTGGTCTCTACTGGGTCATTCAATGGAGGCACTGCACTCGCCTTTGTAAATCAAATTTACAAACCAGGATCAATAAAGACGAATGTAGATATAAAAAAACAACCCTTAAACACAGCAGGCACTCAAGACATTTGGAGGAATTCTGGCTTTTACTTTTTAGTGGGGTGAGGGTGGGGCAGGCAAATTCCACTGTTTTGTTTTGTTTTTCTTTGTACTTAAAACACAATCATGGTACAACCATTTGAATTTGACAACAACTTCTTAGGGCTTTCAAGCATCTTTAGTACTGTTTGTTTTCTGAGTCGTGTCACCCCGAAAGAGAAGGAAATGAAATTGTAGAGCAATAAATACGCCCCAAACAAAAGTGATCAATTTTCATTCAGCAGTAGGATTGTCCCTCCGTCATCCCTATTAGCACTAGATGAACTGCGTTGCGGACTTCGCGGTTCGAATTCCTAATGAGGCAAATTCGAACTGGATAAATAATAAGAAGTTTGATGGTTCTGTTCCATAAGAGGCATGAGGCCATCGAAATGTCTAATAGCGTAGATATATTTTCTATCTTAACAGACAGTCATTTAGTGTCATGATACTGCATCTAACAAACTAATGGCAAGTTGGTGCATCTTCGACCTATAAATAATGTTGACAGTGACGTGAAACTGTAGGTACGTTAGTATCAAAGGGAAAACATTATCCTGATAAGAGATTCAGTTACGTCATTTAGTCATTGATGATATTATGTTAACAAGATCGTGCGATGATTCATCGATGAGTCATAGTCAATGGCTAACATAATTATTTTTGTCCTTCTATCTTTTCAGGTAAAATGATGCCCTCAGACTGTCGGCGCCCTGACAAAAGTGTAAAGTCGTGATCAGTCAACAAAGTGCAACAGCCACGAATAAATCATCGTCTGTCTGCTTGAGAAACCTAAGGGAAAGTTAATCGAACTGTCACGTATAACAGTAACGCCACTAAAAAAAAAGAACACCAAAGACAGAATAGGCAAACACATGACGCATTGTCTTTGATTGGTCGTGCTGACAATCTGATGGACACAATAAATACTCTTTAATTGCCGTAAAGGTATTACCCGCCCTGGTGACGTCATAGAGGTATCCGGTGGCATTGTCGTGTACGTGCGCGCGGCATCTCGCACGGGCAGCAGCGGCACAGGTAATCGCTTCTCAGCAGCGGCTCACTGGACATGGCCAGGTAACAGATGTAGGGAGGCGTTGAACGTGAGCGCCAGCCTGGCTCCACAGCTGTAATATGTCAATGTAAATGTAGCACAGCCTACGACGTATCGTAAGAGAAATCTGTGTCTGGATTACCGCCTCGAAGTTCAGTGACTACATTTTTTTTTGTGCGTGAATTTCTCTCTCTATTTATTTATATTTCTTTTTTAAAATTGTGTTCCGCGTGTGTTAATTCCTGACAAAATACCCATACTTTACAAAGCGTATACATTCTCTGTTTTTTAATTGTTACTCATCTATTTATCCATCGAAAACTGTTCTGACTTGACACGATACCACAGAAGTAACAAGATCTGGACTTTATCGAACAAACTTATTCATGTTGAATATACGGACGCGTGTACTGATTTTCGTATACTTGAAGATACAAGCCAACTTTGGCTTCATTACATTTCGTAACACACTGGGATGTGCAGTGTCTGTTGCTTGATATAATAGAAAGTTTCATCTTGTGTAATTGTCCTAGATAAGTTAAATAGTTAAGGAAACAAATTACTAACAATTTCAACATCAGTGTTCCCTTCCCAACAACCAAAACAAAACATGGGGTCGAACGATACATTCTTCAACTTGACAATGCTCAATGTAACTGACGGCAACGGAACATCCAGTAATGGTTCTGAAAACGGGACGGCCTGTTGGAATGAGTACTGCTGGGACGAGGAATACTACAACGACCTTCTAGAGGACCACGTTTTCCCAAAAGCTTACGAATGGGTCTTCATCCTTCTGTATTTCTTGACGTTCACCGTAGGGCTGGTGGGGAACGCTTTAGTGTGCTGGGCAGTCTGGAGAAACCACAACATGCGGACGGTGACCAATGTGTTCATCGTCAATCTGGCTGTGGGAGATTTCCTGGTGATTCTCGCCTGCCTCCCGCCCACACTGGTGCAGGACGTCACGGAGTCCTGGTTCTTGGGGACCCGGGTGTGCAAGGCTGTTCTCTATCTGCAGGTGAGTGGACGTTACTCGGTCAATTTTATAACAGTCCCGATTTGATCATATCATTTGGTGTTTTGGTGCACTTTTCTTGCTAACACTGTGCTTCGTACACACATTACGGGCAGGAATTCACATGTCCACAGATATGTTCCTACATCGTAAATGCTAAGTAACGATTATGGGTAAGTGTTGATACTTAAATACTGGGACTTCAATTTGGGCAGAGATGGGTGAGTGTAAAAATCAAAGACATTGTCAAACTATTTTTATCTTTTTAAACTTTAAATTCAAGATTGCTAACATCAAAGTCATGTAACTGAGCTACCACCCATCTTATCTATTGTAGTTTAGTTTGTCCTCGTAAGCTACTGCCCCCCTTTGTTTCTGAATCAGTATTGGCATACTGCTCCTCATTAGTCTTCATATCTCGGCCATCCGTAATCCTTTCATCAAGCCTCGCTCTAGCAATTCTGTGTTTCCTTTTAATTTTTGCCCATCAGATTCCTCTAATGTGCTACTAGTTTACTCTAGGAACCACAAATTGAAATCACTCTTATATGTGTAGTATCCGATATTTGGAGTTTTGGTCATCTCAAAAAGCTGGTGGGGAAAACTATTGTCATATGCCAATAACCCAAGTTGTAACAGAGAAAAAAAGTAAAGAAAAAACATGAATCCAAAACCCAAAGTGAACATCCCTTAATAAAAACTACAACGTAAAGATTTCCTCCCTCCAGAAGCAACAACAGTGTTATGTAACCTAGAAAGCTCTCCTTGTTTCTCGATATCTCGTGAAAGGCAACATTGTCGAAAAGAGGGCCTGACAGACATTTTGAAATCTTACTTTCATTTATTTTTGTTGTTGTAAATGTTCTGACAGCAGTAAAAGGACCTATTGTTAGTTATATAATCTGTGTGAGCAGTGACTCTGAAGACATTAACATATATTACCACATATATTCAGACTTAACAACACCCAGAAACACACACTCATCCCCAAAACACACTCACACGCAAACAAAATATACAAATGAACATACATGCACACAAACTCCCAAACACTAGGCTTCATCCTGTTGTGTAGTGTTTCTAACTTTTAGCGGTTTCTGCCTTTTGGAATTTTGAACTTTTCCCCCCTAAATATCTTTAACCTCACAATCTCTATAAAAATACCAATAAACTCAGTATCATCGCAGTTATAATGCAGCGGATGAAGCAGTCAAGCTACGACAACTCGCTTGTTAATCTCGATAATAAATGTACCAGACAGTTCGGTTACATAGTCAGAAGTAAGATTAACGATATTTTTGAATTTGTAGACTTCTCTGGT